GATGTCTACCAGCGCTGCAACAAAGGTTTTTATGGCAGCCAGGGTGGCTACCAGCTTGGGTTGGGAGCTGGTGTCGTGCTCCAACTGTGTTCCAGCCTACCGAAGCGAGACGACAACCTAGTTGTCGCTGATAACTTCTTCACAGGCCCTCAGCTTGTAGAGGAGCTTTCAAGAATGGGAATTTCCTATATTGGTACGGTTCGTGAAAACAGACTCAGCTGCAGCAAGTTGATGGATGAGAAATCGAAAAAGCGAGGTCGGGACACCTGTGATACTTCAGTCACTTCATGTGACCAAAAGACAATGGTGGCAGTGAAGTGGCATGACAACCGCACTGTTACTCTTTATTCGAACTGCATTGGTGCTGACCCGCTTTCATCAGTCAAAAGGTGGGACAGCAAGGAGAAAAAGCATATTTTTGTCGATTGTCCAGTGATCATTTCTTCCTACAACAGATCAATGGGCGGCGTGAATCTTCTAGACAAATTGTGCTTCTCCTATCGCTTTTCTATCTGGTCTAAATGCTGGTATATGTAATTGTTTTGGCCCACGCGCAAAATAGCAGCTGTTAATGCATGGTTCATGCACAAGAGAATTCTCCAGCAGCACAAACTGCCGCCTACACCCTTGAGAGAATTCCTCTCTGAGCTCGCAACGAGTCTGATCTTGCTCAACAAACGACCACCAGGGCGCCCTTCGATTCAGAATGTCACACCATGCAAGAAAGTGTGCCTAAATGTCCCCCGGGATGTCAGAAGAGACAGCAACGAGCACTGGCCCACATGGAATGCAAAACTGAACCGCTGCAAGGCATGCCCAGGAGGGTACACCTATGTTTCGTGTGCCAAGTGTAAGGTGATGTGTTTCAACAAAGACCGTAACTGTTTTGTTAGTTTTCACCAATAGGCGCCAAACAGCTATGCTTGTATTGTGCTTTCTTCAATTTGAAAATTCGCCAAAATTATTGGTAGCAATAAAAAGTTTCTTTCACTTGGATTGGCCTTCATTTTATACACTACTGCCCATTGTTGCACATATGCAACATCCCATTATTAATTCGCAGACTATATCTTCATGTTTTTATTGAAAACTTGCACTCCTAGTGACTCTAAGGACATGGCCAAGAAATATTTTGAAGTTTGGAAAAATGTTTCTCATACTGGGAATTAATGGGTTAACTCCTCCTTTAGCACAGCTGCTACCTGGTACCATGGGACAAAAAAAGAAAGGTTCTTTGGCCCCTTCTAAGTTTACAGGCCTAGTTACCAACGAATGACGGTAAGAATTGTCTAGGAGCAAGGCACAAATTTTTCTTGGAACAGACATCATTAATATGTCATGCTTGAAATCAATGCAGTGCAGCCCTGCATCACCAACAGTCAACCATGCTGTTTTTTTAGTTGTATGTGCACTTGGAGGGAGATAACATTAGGTCATGCTTAAAAAAAAAATGTATGGCCTCATGGGCAGGTAAGTCGCACAAAGGACATGTCTAGCCCTCTACATGAAAATTTCAGCCAACTAAAATGTAATTTTCTGGGACAGACGAGGCTTTTGAAGTGAGGAGATTGATCTCGTAAGCTGAGGTACACCCAACAAACGTTTAAGAGTACTTTTTAGAAAAAGCGTTCCACCACAGTGTGTAGGCGTAAGGGAAGTGATAATATAACTGCAATAGCTGGTCATATCGGATACCCCATGGTCATGTATCTGTTTCCTGCCGATAGTGCTTTTCACAGTGCCCGACATTAAAAGATCGCTGTGCACATTCATAGGGATACATATAAGACTGGACAGCATAGAAAGTAGAGCTTTGTGCTTTCCTTTGTTTCTAAAATTTTTATCTTAATTTCTTTATTTCTCTTTGGCAATTGCAGCCTTGAATTTCGCCCAAATAGCTAAGCAATCAGTCTTGTTGTAGGTAACTATCAAGACATCGAAGTGTTTTCAATGGAGCGTAAGTGCCCCAGATGCACCCTCGTAACATGCTGAAAACGAGTATCCTTTGGGATGTCTCCGAGCATGAACAATTGACAACGAGCCTTAATGTTACTGATTAAGTCATCCGGTTCTTGCATTCTTACGGATATTTAAGTATCAGGTCCCCTTGTTGCATGGCAGCAGCCACATAGAGCAAAATTTTTTTTCAGTTTTAGGAGTTTTAGCGTATACTAAAACTGGTATTCAACGACAATGTAGCAACTTCAGCCAAAAAATTTAATGAAAATTTGTCAAAGCTCACAACTGCAATAATAATAAGGAGAAGAATTGTTGATGATTTGCATCCAAATACCACAATATGATTAAGACACACTATAGTGGAGGGCTCTAGATATTTCGACCACCTTCGGGTTCTTTAATCCGTACGAAAATTTAAGACTATAAACGTAGTTGTGAGATAGACACCGTTTTTAGGGTATATGGCCTGCATGATGGCAAAATGGTGTGTATTTATTATATAGTTGATGATTGTCCACTTACATAGTGACATCACTTAATTAAATACTACCCTACTTGACAAGTTTTTATGAGATTCCAATGTACTAACATCACTACCATTCCTGTAGAAGTATGACAACATCGCCTCTTGTGCTAACTTCCAGTTTCAGTTTCTGCTTCTCAAGCAGTCAGGTTGTAGTAACATGTGCTAGAGGTTAGCTATAGTAAGTCATGGTGGCATTGCACTAGGGGTTTCGCACACAAACACCTCGGGCATGAAAAGTTGTCATTTTATCAGTGTGAAAGAATTTTTGTGCAATATGCTTGTCTAGTACAATGCCATCATGTGTAACTAAACGCGAATGCTAATTTATATGGGCTTGTTGCAAAGTACACCAGTGGCACCTAAGTTCAATAGCGGCAAACCCAGCTTGGCAAGCATCTATTTGCTGATGAGCTAGTTCTACATGACTGCTGCCACTCACTCTAAAATCTGCTGGCACCTTTGGCCTGTGCAGCTTTCACAGTCATACACGTCAAATATTAAAACATATTACAAACAGTGTATAATAAATCCAATAGACAACTAAGCTAAGAAAAATTAAGCAGGCATTATTAAGTTTTTTCATCTGTAGACCTCATGCCTGCAAATGTTTATTGATCAGCAGCCACCTTGAGTAAAGATCACATGCCACAATACGTGCCCTCTGGCAAACAGTTTTTTGCACTTGCTGTCTTGGTTACGAGTGACACAGGCTGACGCTCTCAGGTGCTACGCTACGTGCACAGATTAAAGGACCCAACAAAGTGTACGGGGGAACATCCATCATCGTAGCTCAATTGGTAGGGCATCAGATGTGTAATTGTAAGGTTTGATTGGTTCGAACTCAACTGGCAGAAAAAATGTTTTCCTTCTAAATTATTTCAATTTATATGTTATGATTACTACACTACAGTTAGAACTTAAATCCTCTATGCTTTCCTTGGTAGCATTCATGAAGTTTTAACACTTTGAACAACCAGCCATGTTTCAATATTACAAACAGGTCATTTTAATCATGCAACTGGATATTATAACAGTTGGTTCAAAAGAACACTTTGCAAAAATCTGGGAGGCAGCTTTCCTGTGAGGTTGTTTTCTAACAAAAACTCTCATTCACAAACCACTTTTCTCGCTCATTGTGCTTTTACCTCTCCTAATTCCAGTGAAGGCAGGGAAGTGCAACAAAATGTCTTTTTCTCCCCAACATCGACCATGGGGTTGCCTCCCTTTGGACGTACCCTCAGGCATCTGCCTTTTTTGAGGAAAGGGGGAAAGGCAAAAACACAATGAGTGAGAAAAACAGCCCATGAACGAGAGTTTTTGGTTAGAAAACAACTTTACAGCAAAGCCGCCTTCCGGTCTTCTTGCAAAGTGTCCATTGTTTGACTGCAATTACATGGATGGTGTGAGCATCCAGAAAATATTTGGCTGGCAGAGGCAAGCAGGTTGCAGTATTAGTGGCAGCTTTTATCGACCGGGTAGTCGGGTGACTACTGGCGAAATTCGAAAAATTTTTCACTGGCATTATGGTTTGGCCGACCTTAGTCAAGGCGCCAGTGCTAGAATTCTGTTATTGCCAAGTGTTTTGCCAGCTGTTTTTATTGACGAGTTCAAGCGAATTGCACTGAAAGATTTCTTCAGCTTGCCATGGCCAAGTGACTAGTGCTGCCCAAATAGATTGCATACACTAAAAACTTGGACCATCTCCCCGAGAGGAACCCCGATAGGATGCGAAGCAGCTGTGTTGCACACGGGTAGCGTCATGGGTTGAACGCACTAACGTGACTGGGCGCTGGTGAGTGCTGGAAGATTCGTTTGAAACGATGACTGGCGTGTACATCTTGTAGGTGACACGAACAGACATGTTTTCATGCGCTTGTTAGGCGCCCGTCAGGTGTATTGCGCATGAACTAACGAGTCAGCGGTGCAGCGGTCATGGCAGGTGTTGCAGACGAACAGATTAGGCGGTAGCTACGGCCGCCGTGGCGAGGGAGAGAGTGACGTCAGGGCGTACTGCGTAGGCGTGACCTACTTTGCACCACCCCAACACCTGCGGCGCAATGGTACAGAGAGACAGTGTTACACAGGCTAGTGAAAGAGCTGCTTCGCATCGAAAAGTGTTCATTGACTGGCTGCCATCAAGCGACTGGTACTGAAATTTCAATTTTGTTCACTGGCTACGACCATACTCATACTAGAAAGCATCATCATTGCAAGATACATATGTTGCTCTAGCATTTATTTCTTGACTGACTTGAGCTGCTAAGAGGATATTAATTGTGATGGTGAGTTCCAAAAAATATCAAAGCTGCAACTTTGGCATGGTTACAGATGTGCCAGCTTCCTAATAAATGGAAACACTGAACTACTCTCGTAGCATGCCGAACTTTTGGAAAGCTCCTGCTGCATTGACTGTTCATATACCCTATGTAAGTTTACATGAATTATCTGAAGTAATGCTTATCTGGGAAGCAAATGTTACGTAGTTTGCTTTTAGTTCTTCCACATTCTCTAAAAAATGAGAGAACAAAGTTTTTTTTATTGCACTGTACCCAAACTCTTCAAGTGTTATAAAGGCAAAATCAAGAAGCGAGTTTTGTACATTATTCACAAGAAAATTACATACTTTACAGAGTTACCTGCAATAAGAACACTGCCAGAGTTTCTTCTTCTTTGGCTGCCTTTTCAATGAGGTGCATGGGATGTGATACCAGCTGAGGCACCAGTCACACAAAAATGAGTCGAACTTTTTTCAGGTCTCTATGACACTCTTCACAATCCCACCAGTGCACCGAGCGTTTCGCATTCACTACACTCATCGCAGCAGTCCAAGCATCGCTGGAGAAGAACGTCTCTGCAATGCTAACATCCACGCTGTCATCCAACAAACCACAGTGCAGCAACTCCGGCTTTGTTTCAACATCCTTTTTTTCGAGGACCTTACCGTTCAAGCCATCAGTAGCAGCAGCCTCACCCACTAGCCACATTAAGACAGTAAATTTTTTTTCCTGACAAGTGCAAGACCTGAAGGGGCCACAGTCTGAAACACATTTTCTTTTTGTGGGATCCACGGTCAAATTGCTTTCCTTGGGGTGCCTGCAGCTGCTCATACAAGGAGCAATTTCGATTTCCTTAACGGTATCAGCGAATGGTGTATTAGCCTCGTCAGCATTGAAACAGGTAAGAGATTGGGAGGCTTTGAGTGCTAGAACAGTTATGGGTTTGATTTTCTGCCCACTTAGAACTGACACGAAAGTTGCGATACCCGAAAGACGAGCATCAGCTTCGTCTGCTGCCAGAGTGAAGGTGCCAGCATTGCTCTTGTGTGGTGCTTCCTAAACTTCTGCAGGTTTGAAGCAAGGAGATGCGATGCACTGGTTATCCTCCCTGTTACCTGCTGCCACTTCGTCATCGCAAGACCAGTCTCTCAGAAGTGCCTCCAGAACTTCCAATCTTCGCTGGAACTTTGGCATCGAGGCTCCAGAAAGAATTCTGGCAATCTTGCCAGCAACTGCTGCAGCTTTTTCATGCATTTCATGGCTTGACAGAATTAGCTCATCCTCACCATTGTCAATAGGCAGAGGTTTATTCTTCCGATGGTCCTTTTGGTGACTTGACAGTATTGGCTCACTTTTAGCATTGTCACTAAGCACAGCAGCCAGCCTCACAGGGGCAGGCGCTCTGGCTTTTACATTGTCATTAAACAAAGTCTCTGATCCTGCCAAGCCATCAGAAGCACCATCATGAAGCTCTGGCTTATAATGGTGCTTTTGATTGCTTGACAGATACAGGTTAATGTTTTCATTGTCGATTAGCAGGGGGTCTGGCTTTTTAATTTCATCTGACAGAGGCACTTCCGTGCTTGGAATGTTGTGGGCTGCTGGTATGTGCTTGAAACCAGGGCCAACCTTCCGCCTTTGAGGCGTATGCTCAGAAAGAGGCTCTGATGACACAGCATGATTGGTGTGCCAGAGACACACACTTCGGACCTCCAGGTTGGCTCCGTCTTTGGTGGCAACAACGTAGATGTGGAACCCACAGTCATGCTTGAAGGTCCTGCAACAGGGTATGTATTAGACATCAGAAAAAAAATGTCAATTTTGTCGCAAGATCAAAGCAATGAATTTTGATCACCTTCACACATTTCTGGCATCCCATTATGAAATAACTTACCCACACCACTAAAAGTAAAGTTTATTTAATCTCATTTGAAATTCATTAAAAGAAATAGGTTTTCTATCAGCCTTTTTCTTTATTTATACCAGATTTGTGCTGCTCTATATGCTTTTATTTATCAGATTATTTCTTTCTTGGTTCCACGCCTTCTTGTTTTTCATTTTGGTTTGTATTGCGTTGCTTTTACAGTTTGAATAGATGCTAATTCTAGTTAATTTGTTTGTAACCTTCACTGAGAGTTCTGTTGTTGCACTTTGGGACCCTCATCTGTATATTTTATTCTCTGTGGTCATTCTTTGTCATAATAATTATAATAAAAACTGATTGATTGATTGAATAGCAACAAATTACATGATGAACAACAAGCAGCTCAAAATTTGCAGTGGTCTGCTGAATACTAGGGAAGTTTGAAAAGAACACACATAGAGAGAATGCAAACTAACAACTGTCACAGCTCGACACTTACAGCACACTGCTCAAACACAAAGAAAGACGCATGAGAAAAGTGCGCAAGTATGCACATGGCGAGTGCAAACTCACAACTGTCACAGTTGTTACTTATTTATGTTTGAACAGCATGCTGCGCGTGTCGACTAAGAACAACCGACAAGCCCCCACTTTGGCTCTTCTAGCTAGCGGCTTACCCTATTCACGAACACGGCCGCTTCAGAGAGCGAAGTCACCATTGTGCACTGTGTACCTTGTACACAAGCTTTGCGATGAGAGCATAAGACGAAAGAACCCCCCCTCTCATGACATAAGCGTAATGCATGGGCAACCAAGCCGAGTGGGGCTAAGTACAGGTGGTACTACTGGTAGGAGGTATGTGCACAATCTAACTACGGCAAGAAATGCACAAGGTGACGACTTTCAAAGCTCACTCTCCACTCTTTCTCATAGGTGATAAAGAACATGCTATGCAGAGCACCTCCTCTGCGTCCCACCAGCTGTAAATAATGTGTAAATGCATATACGTTGTTGCCATTAGTGAGATGTAGGACATAGGCAGGGTCACTTGAATAGTCACCCTGTGAAGCGAGGGGTCGCAGGTTTGAATCCCTGGTAGCGCATTTATGATTTTAGTTATTCGTGAGGACAATAACAACGGAAGCGTTTATTTCGACAGTTTCGGCCAAAACCTGGCCTTCATCAGGAATCTGGCCGAAACTTACGAAATAAACACTTCCATTGTTACGGTTCTCATGGAGGATCTACTTCACTGTTTGCAATGCTTTGGCCACTTTTGCCACCATGCCTGCTTATATATATATATATATATATGGCAAGTTATTTTTTTCACCCACCTTTCTTTGTTATTATTTCATTATAGTTCTAACTTCTCCTATGCATTCCTTGGCATTATTGTCAGTTAGATCTCATTAATATTGTGTCAAAACACGGAAAAACGAGCCCTAGGTATACACTTCTTTCTCTTATATATATATATATATATATATATATATATATATATATATCGTAGAGAAGCTTCCGAACACTGAAATTGGTCAAACTCTCAGGTGCCTTTTAGTGGGTCTATCCAAAAAGGATGCCGCCCGCACTGAGGGTCCGTGCTTGGCTGGGTCAGGAAGAATGCCATCCTTGGACACGACGTACCCTAGGATGGTGAGTTGCCGTGCTGCAAAGCGGCACTTCTTCAGATTTAGTTGCAAGCCAGCATTGCTCACACGTGCGAAAACTTCTTTCAAACGTCGGAGATGTGTGGAGAAATCTGGAGCGAAGACGTCATCGAGGTAACACAAGCACGTGTGCCATTTCAAGTTGCGCAGAACGGTGTCCATCATGCACTCAAAGGTCGCAGGTGCATTACATAGACCAAACGGCATGACGTTGAATTCGTACAAGCCGTCGGGTGTGAGGAAGGCAGTCTTCGGTCGAGCTTCATCAGCCATGGGTACTTGCCAGTACCCTGAGCGCAGATCGAGAAAAGAAAAAAATTCGGCTCCGTGAAGGCTGTCAATTGCGTCATCTATGCGTGGCAGTGGGTAAGCATCTTTGCGAATGATATTATTGAGCCATCTGTAGTCCACACAGAACCGCACAGAACCATCTTTCTTTGCAACAAGAACAACAGGAGACGCCCATGGACTGTCCGAGGGCCGAATAACGCCGCGTCGGAGCATATCATCAACCTGCTCGTTAAATTCCCGACATTCAGCAGGCGAAACGTGGTATGGACGTTGGCGTAATGTTGGATGGGCACCAGTGTCGATACGATGCGTAACAGTGGACGCGCGACCGACAGAACTTCGTCCGACATCGAAAGAAGAATGATATTCTTGCAACAGGTCCAGAAGCTGGGAACGGTGTACCGAAGTAAGGTTGTCATCAATGTAGGGGCCAAATACATCAGGAGATGATGATTCAGAAGTGGAAACAGCACTGATGGTACGTGAATAGGGACAACGCGAGTCATCGAGTACGTCCAGGACTTGTGCGTCATCAACTGGTTCAACTTGACGAGACATTCCCCTTGAACCAAGGTAACAGTGTACAGGGATGGGTTGGTCACAAAAATAGTGGCGTTGCCCTGGGTGATTTGCACAGGCGCGAAAGGTACTAGTAACCCTTTCCTTCTGCAAGCACGGTCGGATGGCGAAACGAGTGCAATTTTGTCGGACAGACCAGCGCAGTAGACCGATACACCCGTCGTCGAGCTTTGAGGCACTACGGTATCGTCTTTCACGAGAATCTTGCTCAGTTTCGAGGGACTGTCTTTTGGCGTCAAATGCGAGAAGGGTGAGAGTTCAATTTCGGCGGCGGCACAATGGATGACGCCGTCGTTGCAGGAGAGAAAATCCCATCCCAAGATGACGTCATGAGAGCATGCAGGAATGATGATGAATCGGGCGACATACAGAACATCCTGAACGACAACGCGAGCTGTGCACCCTGCTGTAGGACGGATACGATGCGAACTAGCAGTACAAAGGGACAACCCAGAAATTGGCGTCGTCACTTTTCGAAGCAAGCGGCAAAGGTTTTCGTCCATAACTGATACTGCAGCTCCGGTGTCAATAAGAGCAGATGCATGAACACCGTCAACAAGTACGTCAATGACATTAGATGGGCGGCTCTGAAGGCTTTCACAATGCGATAGCGTCACAGCCCTTGCCTCGGGGACTGCGACGACTAGTTTTCCCGCTCGTGAGCAGCTGAACTTGGCCGCATGGGGGACGGGGAACGACATTGTGGAGACGGAGACCTTCGAGAAGATGGAGCTAGGCGAGACAGCGGTGGCATAGACGGCGTTTCGTCGTGATGGGTACGGTTGATCTGGCCAGCAACAGGCGATGAGACATGGGACGTTTGTACACGAGTGCAATAACGTGCTACGTGGCCGGCGTAACCGCAGGCAAAGCAGATGGGCCGGTTGTCGGGTGTGCGCCATCAATTCGCCGGGGTAGGTCTTGTCCATGACGCAAGAGCCGATGGATGGAACGGTGGCTGGAAGGGCTGCAGGGTGGGCTGGAGCTGAGTCCGAGAGGTCTTGTCAACATACGTAGCCAGCATACCCGCTGCGAAGGACGGAGGTCGTGCGGCAGCTTCGGCGTAAGTCAGTGGGGCGGGCGCTTGAATGACTGGAGGCGGCCTGGCAACCACTCGGGCGTAACTTTGGGGCGTAGGGGCCAAAAGCTGTTGTGGGTGGTATGCAGGCATGACCTCCGCTATTTCCTGCTCAATCGCTCAGCAAATGAATGGAAGAATGGTAGTGGCCGATTGTTGAGCAGCCGGTGGGTGGGAAAAGGGCAGGAGAGAGAACTGCCACGTGATTTCCTCACATATGAAGGACTTGAGGTCTGCCAGCAGCGCCACTTGATCACAGCGCGCCTCCAAGCCAGCAAGCCCTGCATTTCGTGGTGTGGAGCGACGGGTCATCGAACGCTGCCAGCGGAGCTCCTCGTAGCTCTGGCACAGCGTGATGACCTCAGCCACTGTGCCTGTGTTTTTGGCAAGCAGCATCGTGAAGGCATCATCGTCAATGCCTTTCATGACGTTCCGGATCTTGTCTGATTTGGACATGCTCTCGTTAAATTTCTTGCACAAGTCCAGGACATCTTCAATGTAACTGGTGAATGATTCACCGGCCTGCTGAGCGCATTCACGTAAGCACTACTCGGCTTGCAGCTCACGAACGGCAGGGCGGCCAAGAACGTTGGTGATAGCGGTCTTAAAATCGGACCAGGTTTGTCTTGTCTCCACCACGCGTCCGTTTCTTGAAATCAGACACGTGGTTGTCGTACCATAAACTTGCAACGCCCGCAAGGTAGAACACCAAGTCTGTCAACTTGCCGTCCTCGTCCCATTTGTTGGGGACGCTCACGCGCTCGTAAATGGCGAGCCAGTCCTCCACGTCAGAGCCATTGGTGCCAGTGAAGATGGGTGGATCGCGGATCCTGGGGCCACCAGGACAAGCGGGCGACATGGGAGGAGATGTTTGCTGAGAGGCGTCGTGGGACATGGTAGATGGCAGGGTACGTGATCGTAGTTCCAAGGGCATCGAAGGGGATCATAGTACTCTCCACCAATTTGTTAGGGCGTTTTCTAGCCGGCACACAGCGAGCATACATAATGGCGACAGTAACTGCCAAGCACAGACCCTCAGCACGAGCGGCGTCATTTTTGGGTAGACCCACTATAAGGCACCTGAGAGTTCAACCAATTTCAGTGTTCGGAAGCTTCTTTACAATATATATATATATATATATATATATATATATATATATATATATATATATATATATATATATAATGTATACGTAACATAACAGCAATGGCAAAAACCCATCAACAGTGTTCGTAAAATTGCTATCACAACAGAAAAAACACATGCAGCTATAGCTGCCCTCCATGGCAGTTAGTGTACAGTGTGGGGTGAAACTTCCCTACCCCTCATGGTGTACCATGAGCAAACTTGTGCTCACTCTCGCTTTGTCTCGCTATGTGCAATGACAATATACATTTCTATACAGTTGTTACTGTGAAAAAACTTCGAGTAGATTTGTGACACAGCAGTACGTGAAGGCCTGAAACACAGAAGGAGCGCACATGCCCTAGCTTTGGAGCAACTGTCCTTAAATTTTGCACCTTGAGCTCTGACAGCTGACTTGTGAAAAAAAAAAAAATGTTGTCACAAATATACAACTCCAGTCACTTAGTTTTATCATAGCATTTTATGCTGCCTTAATGAAACTCCACTATTTCGGCTATCTAAGGATGTCTGAGCAGTAGTCAGAGAAAAGAATTAGGTAACCACAAAGGAGACGTAAACTGGTGAATATTTAGAGATATTTTGCCACAGGAAGTTGGTTGAAGTTTCGCGCTTGTAGTCGGAAAAACTCAAGAAGTCTGCGGCATTTCTTCTTCAACGCGGATGCACACAAGCCTCCACCAATGGGCTAGCGCTCCGTACCGACGTCATGAGCCAGACGCCCGTTGACCATTTGACCTGCCTTCAAAGATTGGTGCATAAGCGGGACTAAACTTTGGTCGCGGAGGCGATTGGACGCGCCTCGGCGGACATCTTTCCCCGTGGTTGTGGGCTCCGCGTAAATGCGATACTTACGAGGACGATCGTCCAGTGGCGGTTGAGGTGAACTTCTTTCCCCCGTGAATGCAGCAGTATTTGATGCACTGATACTTCAGGTGCTCGCTCATTTTGCTGGCGATGTTGCCAACTCTCTTCCTGGCCGCGTCGATGGTGCGCGCGTCTCTTTTCCACAGCTGCACAGAATGGCGCGAGCTGTAGGCGGCGACGGCCTTTTCGAGCTCTACGAAACTCGCGAAGCGGTCGCCCACACGGAAGGTTACGTCACTGGTGTTAACAGAACGTTTTTTGCGGGGATTCGAGCCATCCTCGAAGAAGTCGTCGTCGCATAAGATGAGTGGAGACACTACCATGTGCACATCGGGTGGCTGCCCAGCCTGAAAGAGGTCTTTGAGGCAATCTTGTTGCGCACAATCGACGCCGGTAGTCGGAGAAACTACCGTGGGTTCGAATGAGTCCGTCGAACAAACAAAAGACATTGCGAAGCGCGGTGCCAATTCGACAAACATAAGACAACACGAACGTATGTGCGGTGTCGTAGGCTGCGCATTGCCGACCGCAGGACGCCGAGATATTTTACCGGCTGCCGGCAAAAGTAACCAAATAAGTTTGCCGGCAGTGTTGTGTGGATTGGCTGACTGCAGTCACGTGATCGAGCGCGGCTCAATTAAAAAGCTTCGGACTTGTGAATGGCTGGTGATTGTTTCAGTGTCTTTTTTCTTCTCCCATTACCTTTTCTTTTTGCGCATTTACACAGGTAAAGCGTGTCCTTTAAACAGACACCCTGATGTTGGCGCGCGGACGCGGCGACAGGCCTCGTCAATCGGCACCCGCCCAGTGCCCCTCACGTCGTTAATCTCTTTTGCAAGAATCTCAATCACCTTGTCGTGACGGTTACGTAGAGCCTGATCCCGTCAGGACCCACAGCGGATATACCATTAGAGTTAAAGGGGCCCTGCTCTTTGACACTCTTTGAGCATGGTCAGAAAATGCTGCCGATCGGTAGTGGAAACTCCTAAGAACACGCAAAGTGGCCTGGAATTCACAATAAATTATCGAATTTAGCTAAAAATTAGCTCGACGAATTTTTTTTCTCTCGACGAATTAAAAAAAAAAAAAAAACTCGTAGGCCATCTATCAGCCATTGGCTGATTTTAACATGGCACGCTCGGTCGTTAGAGGGATCGTCATGGGAGGTCGCGACTTGTCAACGCGTGCGCGCGCGATCACCCTGAAAAGGCTGCGTATTCGAATGGATGGATGATGGATGGATGAATGAAAAACTTTTATTGGGGTCCTGAAGGATTCCACCCCCGTTTTATAGGGGTAGGATCGCGGGCCGCTCCCACGTTAGGACGGGGAGGCCCAGCCTCACCGTATTCGAAGAAAAAAGAAAAAGTGCTCAAGGTCACGAGGTGTGGGCGACGTATTTTATTTGTCCATGCCATTCCTCCCTGCGTAGCTTTCAGCGCACTCGTCGGTACCAGAGAATGTGATTGCAGCGTGTGACAAATCATTGTAACTCCGCTCGTACTGGACGAATTCTTAAAATTTTTGCGGCGTTGAGTTCGTGAGGCAATAAGCTCTTTTAGTAAGTCTATTCCATGGTTGCGTAAAAAACGTGTTTTAGGGCCCCTTAAAACAGAACATGGCTAATTTCTGACACCGTAAAAAGAGCATCAAGCTCCGGCCTGTCCGCACCCCTATAATTGCTCGACACCTCACATTTTCCTTTCTAAGAAGCAGGTACTGAGTGGCAAGATCATGGGCCATCTGTGCCTCCATCGTTCCCATATGCAACTGCTTCCTAATGATCGATCTGTTCCCAGGCAAGCCTTGTCATTAAAGAGCCATTCGCCAGGCCCCATACCAAATTTTATTTAGACAGTGGAGGTTGTTGGGTGGCCGATGAGAAACATTTTGCCACTTTTTTTTTTTTTTTGAATTGGTTCATCCCGAGCGGAGATAACGGGTTTTTTGAAGCTGCGCGAAACGACGATGAGAGGAGGTCAGCACGAATCCCTTGCCGCTCCTCCGCTTAGCCTTCCAAGCCCAATCTCTTCCCTACCCTCTCCGGCATCCGACCAAGAGGTCACGTGCGCATGACGTGCCCAAACAAGTCCAAACCCCGAGCACGTGAGCGGCGTTGTTTTGCTGACCAGCGTTATTTTGTGGCCTTCTGCCTGTTTCTGCGGGATATGGTTTAGAAACGCTGGCTTAGACAAGGTAGAATAGATGAGCACAATGAGTGCGCAAACGCGTAGGAGTGTTCCGAGGCGGTCGTCTAGCTGCTCCATGCGCTGACCACGGGGACACGAACGCATGCGAAACGCCGACACATTAGCCCCACATCTCGTTGCAATTCGCGAGAAAAAAATAGAAAAAAAATGTTCACATTCCCTTATTGTGTCTCATTATTTATCTAGAATTTTATTGATCTTTTCAAGCAACAAATTACATAAACTACGCATGCCATGTTAATAATTTTCGCCATGTCACGTGCCACTGTTTACAACGTCAGAGCAGAGTTGTCTACGTAGAGGACCAACGGCACTGCATTGCCGTGTACGTAGGGCCATTCATACGTGCACGTCATGCCCTCATTCTCTGGGCGCGCGCCGGCAGAAGGGAGAGGGAGCAGCGTTCATCTTGAAATTTGACCCATTTCCGCGGAACGTAGCGTTTCAAATTTTGGCAGACATGATCATGAACGCGTTGCGCTTGTTAGCTCAAAATTGTCAAACCTGGTGAGTGGCCCTTCAAGGAGACTCTCGAGCAGGCGCCACCTGCTACCCCTGCGCAATCAGCTATCCGTCTCATCATACTTCTCCATTCATTATTGCCGGCCAAGCTCTTTGGCGTAAGTCTCAATTTCTTTATTGAGCAAGATTATCCTCGTCCTAAGCAGCTCCTATTAAGCCTCTGCCTACGCTACCGATTAAGGAGGCCATTTCAGCTTCCAGGAAATGCGCCAATTTTGAATCCATTTTAGGAACTTCCAGCTGCGTTTCAATCTCCTTCGTAGCCCTTTCCACATGCAGCCGAGAGAGAAGTCCTACAAAATCATTGTTATCCAAGGCATCCTCCCCCCTAATGCACCTGAAGTGATCCCAGTCCACATATCTGTGCTTGAAAGTTGGAAGTGGCTGTATCCCTATAAGCGCATTCAGAATGTAGTGACCGGATGCTCCATTTTCTGGTTAACCTCCCTGCCTTTCCCTCATTTTATTCTCTTTCTCTCTCTCTTAGTGATCACTGCCTAATTCCTCCTGCAAGTTCCCCACTCCCTATCCTCATCTCTAAGAAATACCAGGTCAGAAGTGGTATCTCTCTTAACCGGATCTCCCCTTAACGTTGGAAAACTAGGATCCGTGATCAGCATCAACCCCAACTTTGATGCCCAATTACCTAAACTTATACCCTTAGCAGTATACTGCGGGCATGTCCCTATTCCATATTGGGAGCATTAAAGTCTCCTGCAACAACCAAAGCCTTACCTCCAGCTTTCCGAATCACAGCCGAGAACAAAATTAAGTTCCAACGTCTAGCTGCCTGTCTGAGGGAGAACTATATACATTCAGAGCAATAACACATGCAGGCTCAACATTTGCGACCAGGAATAATCTCCACCAACCGGGCTTTAAGCCCAGACCTGTACTGAGGTATATCATGCACGAGGAAAAACAACTCCTTCGCAACCACGATTACTATCCCCTGTTTCGTGTCTCCACGGCTGGCAACAGCTTGGTACCCGGGAAAGGTCAAATCCCCACCCTTAGATGTTTACTATAAGAGAATGACCTCCGGCTTATCTTCTGCCAATCGAACCAGCTGCACTAGTGCAGCCCTACGCTTGCTGAAACTGGCACAGTTTCAGTTTCAGTTTATTTTTACTTTCGTACAAAACATACATGCTTACATAAACATACAGAAGGAGGTCCCAGAGCACTTGGCTGAAGGGGGACCTCCTGTCAGAAAATGTGATAAATATGCACAAGTAAAATGCAGCTCTGACAGCAACGTGGAATAAGTTATACAAATAAATGAAATACAGACTAAAAAAACAAATCTTAACAATCATAAGTACAAGAAAACACTGCTTAGAACATAAAAAAATAAAGAAAAAACCCAAATAATATTGACGAGACGAACAGAGGAATGAAAAAAGCAAGAAAAAGATGAGTAGCTGTGGCACCATTAAGAGTGCATGAATATGAACAGGTGCAGATAATATTACACATCTTAGAATTCTAAGGTATCCAGAAGAAAAGTGAATAATGTGTTTTTAAAAATAGATAATGAGGAAGACTGCTTAACGTTAAGGAGAAGACTGTTCCAGGTTGATAACGACGTGAAATAACCGGAGTGTTTTCCATAATTAGTATGGACGAATGGCAATAATAAATTGTTGTTAGCTGCAAATCTTGTTCGGTTGGTGTTTACTAGAACAGTGTCTGGAAATAAGTTTAGTGGAGGAGGGTTCTTCATTATTTTAAATAACACTACGGATAAATTGTATTTAACAAGGTTGTCTAATGATAGGATTCTGTTATTATGAAGAATGTCGGACACACAGAAGCTGAATGAGCTGAACGTTAGTATACGGATGGCCTGATTTTGTACATGTTGTAGCGGTGCTATGCGTGTTGCATATGTGGTACCCCATGACGTGATGCAGTAGTTCAGATGACTGTGAATGAAACAATAATACAGTGTTAGTAGTATAGGTTTGCTGAAATAGTACCTGGCTTTTATTAAAATTCTAATACCAGGAGCAATTTTGCACTTCAGATGGGCAACGTGTTTCGTAAATTTTAAGTCTGAATCTAAATTAACACCAAGAAATGAACATTCATCAACTGCACTAATGACATAAAAATCAAGAATGATAGTGGGAAGGATTTCTGGTGTTCTGTGACTGGTATGAAAAAGCATGAATGAAGTCTTAGAGGGATTTATTTTCAGCAAATTAAGGCGGCATCATGCTAAAATATTGTTCAAATCAGTATTCAACTTCGATGTAAGAGCAGTTAGTGATCGATGGCTAGCAAGCGATGTCGTGTCGTCTGCGTAAAGGAAAGCTTCTGTTCGTGATAAGTGATTAGGCAAATCATTTATGTAAAGTAAGAAAAGTAGTGGGTCAAGTATCGATCCCTGCGGAACACCCTTGTTTGTTATTTCGAAGTTAGAAAGCGAGGAACCAACACACACAGCCTGTTGTCTGTCTGTTAAATAACTCTTTATAAGCTTCAGCACAGGCCCGTCGACCCGTACTGCCCGTAGTTTAGAAATGAGGATGTCAAGATTGATGGAGTCGAATGCTTTCGATAGATCTATGAAAACTGATCCTGTGTAGAAACCAGAATCAATGGCCTTTTTTTATTTATCTGTGAAAGAAAGTAAAGCGTAGTCAGACGAAGAACCCAACCTGAAGCCGAATTGATTTGAGGAAAGAATATTAAATTTTGAGAGGTATGTGGTAAGGCGTTTTTTAATGCACTTTTCAGTGAGTGCTAAAAAAACGGAAAATAGTGATAGGATGATAATTTGAAATACAAGCCCGGTCTCC